TTGAAAACGTCTACTGACCAAAATTTAATAACTTAGCAATTTAAATCAAATAAAACTAACCGAATTTGAGATCAATGGATAAAACAAAATACGTCATAAAAAACCTGAAATTCACAATAAAAAATCCCAAAAATGTAATACTAATATCTTTTCAATAAAGTCACACATTCTTTATACATTTTATTGTATTATAATTGCACATAGTTCGTCTCTTGTGTGCTTTACGAAACGTTAAATACCCGGTCAAAATGACGTCAGACGGATATACGATCTGGTTCAAAGGAACGTAAATGCCGAATTTGTTTCGATTGAAGTAACAAGTCATTGTTGCTTCACATCATTCGATCATTCGATATCACGTAACAAATATATATATTCAATTCGCTGCATTTCCATTTGCGTAAGAAAATATATTCAATAATAAAAAAAAAAAAACACATTCTGTCGGTTTGCATGGCATTACCTTAATTTCTAAAATAAATGAAGGCATTTTCAGTTGATAAAATGTATAATTATCATACACACACACAAAAATCATACCAAAATTCAAAAGAGAACTGACACATTTTGCCCAATTGAACTAGATCAGCAATGGTGGTTAAAAACTACTTACTCAATTAACCGTGTTAACAATTCAATGGCAGTTATTCATAACGAGAATTTCATTTGCTGACATAAGCGATTGCACGATATTGTGATGAAAGTTTCGGCGTATGTGCTGTCGCATCATGGCATGGCATGATCGTAAATTGACAATTGAGTGGCAATGTTTTTTTAAAGGAAAATTATCAATATGAGAAATGACGCATGAATCACGATGAGGTACGTGTGCTGTACATGGTAGCGAAAGTAGTATGTAAAAAAAGTGCACGAGACACAAATCGATGTACATACAAAAAAAAGTGCACACGAGGCGCGCGTAAAATAAAATAGAATTGTACTTTATTCACTTGTTTACATTTCTATTTTCGCATTGCTGGGGCAGCATGAAGAATTGTTTGTATTTCGAGCGGGTAGTATAAAACGTTTTACGTTTACATCTTTCTTTTTTTCGTCTACCTCATCACATACATACACTGGCACAATCTTGTTTGCACCGCTGAAACCTTAGCCACTATAGCATAAATAAAAACCCCACAGCAATGATCAAATAGCGTTATTCGAACGTTGAAGTGTTCAGAGATATAATGTGTTTGAAGTGCACGATCGATAAGCGACAAAAATAGTTAAAGGCTGGATCTAAAAGAAGGCGAACACAGAAACCCAACGATGGAAACGACGAAACGATAAATTTACACGAATTAAATAATAATAATATCAGTTTACTCCCGGAAGTATTTTCATTGCTTTGTCAGTATAAATTTTTCATTGACAATAAAAAAATATTCATCAAAATACGTCGCAGTGATTCGCGTATCTAGTCGTTTTTACCATTTAAGTGTGCGCTTTTCACATACACACACATTCAAACGATATTTATTTTGAAAGATCTTCATACAATAGACATAGACAGAATTTTTTTAGTTAACTTAACTTATTTACGATTTTATTGATATAAAAATTCATCAAAAGTAAGTATTTTGATTCTATTTTTTACACTAAAATTTTGTATTTCATCATTTTCTTATGCAATGCGATTGAATGATTTCGTGATCATTATACCATGTACTGATAAGATTCTCGTAAATTATCGTATTTGAACATTCAAATAATTTCTAAGAAAAACCATAGAGAATTCAAAAACCGACTCAATTCATTCAAAAAACGTCATAAAAACATTAAATAAAAATCGAAGACCTACAAGAAAGATCATTGTGTCACCCGTTTTTTGTTTTTTTTATGCTAATTTTTGTTTTGCTCATTCAAACTAAATCTCTTTTTTTCAACTTGATTAAAGCACGTCTTATTATTATTATAGTCGAATTTAATGCCTAAAGAAATGCGTCACTTGCAAATAAATACAAATAAAAAACGTGAAAATGATACGTACAAAAGTATTGATAATAGTGATTTATTTTTATAAATAGTACATTTACCCCCGGAATTAAATTTTTCCACTGTGTTATGCGAGTATCATGAAAAAAGTGCCACAGTCGCCAAAGTGCAATAGTTCATTCTATTTTTCTTTTAATTTTAAAATCAATAGTATATATTCCTATATACTGATAAAAACTTGTTGTTTAGTTGTTATTCTTCAATTGTAAATGATGTGCGGCAAAAGTCATTTCGAGCAAAACGATTTGATCGTTATCAAATTTTTTGCACGCGAAATTTTTTTTTCATTCAACCAAAGTTAGAAAAAAATTATTGATCGATTGTATTAATTTCCTCACATCATTTCAGCAAAACGTGTCGAAAAAACACGTTTTGTTGGAACGACCGTCGATTATTTTACTAAAAAACGTTCATTTATTCGAATATAAGTTAATGTTCTGTTTTTTTTTTTGTTATTGCTTTCCACTTGTTGAATGAATGATATATTCAATATTCAGCGGCATTACTTTTTTATTTACCGAGCAATTTGTAAATACTTAGCATTCAACAATGGTTGTAATCCTTGTACATGAGAATGACTTATTGCTTTTGTATTATGTAATAAACAAATTGATTAGTTGATTTTTTTTTCGATTTAAGCCACAAACAATTCAAATTATCGCGTAAATTTATCTTAAATCAACAGCGGTGTAGCATACTTTCAGGCAATATTCACATAAGTCTAATATTGGTATCTCAATTTGAGTTAAATCTCAATTCCATATGGGATTGTTGACATTCAGATTTATATACATATAGATTGTATCAGTATTTATACTGTACGGTTTGACATTTACTTCAAATGCATATTATCACATCACCATTGTGAAGGTTTTTTTCCGTTTTCATGATGATAATTGCATGCCTGAAACTTTTCCAAGTTCATTAGATCAAACCAATTGAAAATAAAAGAAATTGTCTATTGCAGTGATTATTATTTGTGCTTGAATGAAGAAAAAAGTCAATATAGTTAATAATAATTTTTGTTTATTCGAAGTGCTTACGACAATGACCTATGATCGATTAAAAAAAAGAGTAACTCGTTTTCACCATAAATCCAGCATACGTACAACTTGCAAACATTGCTCAATCTATTTTCTGTTTGTCATCTCATCGTTATCACAATTGTCAATCAGCTGTTATCGACGAGCTCAAACAAAGATTTAAATAAATCACCATAAACAACAGAAAATGAGTTCTAATTATTAGTATTTTGTGGAATAAAAACAAAGGATGACAAAGTCGGTTCGAATCACAATCGGCACAACAGCTTATCGCTTAATTCTCAGTGATCTTTTTTGTAGAAAATCGACCCGTCGGCTGCGATTGATTGTACTGAATCGAACTGAACACACAATTCATAATTTATAATATATTCAGTTTCGTTTATTCATCGCAGGCACGTGGATCTCTATTATCTCTGTCTCGATTTTTTTTTGTATGTCTGTGCACAGCTTTTGGCACACACTCATTCACAAAACTCAATTCTAAATTTATCCATCACTAGTAATAATTGTGGTTATCGTATTTATATTCTCGTTTGCAGTGAATTCGGCAGCTGTCATTTTTGTACTTACATTCAGTAATTGTATTTTATCGGCGGTAGAAGGAAGAGTAATGGCTAAAGTGGTGCCCACCGTAAGTGACATTGAACAAATCAATGACATATTATCATCGTAAGTTGACACAGTTTTTCGAATGAAAAAAATACTTCCATTCCAATGATAGGCTGTACTTTGTAATTGTACTAAAAAAAAAATATCATTTACAATTGAACAGATACGTCGGCAAAGATGACAAGTTGGCGTTGTTGTTGGATTTCGATGGAACTTTGGCTCCATTAGCCTCACATCCTGATAAGGCTGAAATCGATCCCGATTCTGAGGCGGCACTGTTCAATTTAGTGACAAACCCAAATATTTATTTGGCCATCATTTCCGGTCGTGGAGCTGACAATGCACGAGAAAAAGTGAAAATTGAACAAATCACATACGCCGGTAACCATGGATTGGAGATCCAGTTCAACTCAAGATCCAACAAGACTCGCTATCAACATGAAATTGATGAGAAAACCCGTCAAAATTACAATAAAATGGTCACTGAACTTGAAACCAAAGTAAGTGTCAAGGTCACATCTCTTTAGCGAATGAGCGATTTTTTTCACTAATTTCATTACATTTTGATTGATACACAGTTGGGCAGCAATGGTGGCTGGGTGGAGGATAAAAAGCAATCTCTTACATTTCATTATCGTGATGTGCCTGAAATTGAGCAGCCAACGTACAAATCACAAGCAACTAGTATAATTCAGTCATATGGATTCATTGCCAATCCGGCACACGCTGCTGTTGAAGCCAAACCACCTGTAGTATGGAACAAAGGTATGGGGTTTTTAACCGATATAGATTTACATAAGCCACCAACATCGTAGTAAATCATACACGCTTTGCATGTTATTTGAACAGGTGAAGCGGCATTGTACATTTTGCGTGCAGAGTTTGGTGATGATTGGTCGAATAAAGTAAAAGTAATTTTTGCCGGCGATGACACAACCGACGAAGATGCTATGCATGTATGTATTTTATTCTCTCTCTCTCTCTCTCTCTCTCGCATAGAATCAAATTATTATTGATGATATTCTCAATGACAGGCATTAAAAGGAGCCGGACTATCGTTTAGAGTGTCATCACGACCGGAGATTGAAACAAATGCCGACTATCGTGTTCCATCAACAAAGACCATTTCGTTGATTTTGCAATGGCTTCAAGATACCATGAACCAAGTGTAAATTTGAAACCATTTGCTGCGCGTTTCGAACGACCTCGCCACTATGTGAAACAAAAACACACATCTAAATAAGAAGAAAACACAAAAAATTGTATAATTTATTTTATTACCTAGTTACCATCATACATCTTTAATTTATACTTCTGTTCCATTTTTTTTCTTGTTGCTTTTCTCATTACCGTCACCATCTGAATTCATTTAAAAATGTAATTGTTTTTTTTTCTTCACTGTTTATTCGTATTTAAAGACTCCACTCTATCTGTTCTGTGTATATATAAGAGAATAAACCTGCCTTTGCAATATACGTAAATACATACACATATAATAGACAACACAGCCAAACAACGACAAACGCAATTTTCAAATGAAGAATGTAATTTACATTTAATCGATAGTACATACACATAAACATCTAGGCACTGGCACATATTAAATTCTAGTTATTACGACAATAAATTGTGTAAGATCTTTTTTTTTTTTATTTATGAGTGTTGTTTTTGGAAATCGATTTATCATGCAAATTGGTTAGGCTGATGTGTTTACGAGGCTAGCGCGATAGATTCGCGTTCGAAAACCAATAGAGATCCAAATGATATAATAACCATAGATTGTCATGCACGTCTATTCTATCCGTGATGTATTTGTTAGCAAAAGGTATACAATACAATTGAATACACAAAGTATAGAAGAAAAAAGTTCGTGTGTGACATATCTCTTTTATAATGTGCGTGGCGGTAATATGACAGTCGAACAAGCGTTCGTTAATTGTCTGTATTTTGTTTTCCTAATGACTGCATCGAAACAGAAAAGTGAAAGAGACAAAAAACAATTTCTATGCTTTTTTCATGACATAAACTAAATGAGACAGCTACAAATTGTCATGTATTGCGTCGCAAACACATAAAGTAATCACATTACAATGCAACATACGAATGCCAATATTTTTTTTTGCTATGAAAACATCGGTCGATTTTATCATGTGTAGTGAAAAAAAAGATGACGCATATACCGTTTGGAACAACCGTTGAACACTTCAAATGAGTCAAAATTGACCACTGTTATCGAATTTCAAATCCATGACTAATTGATTTACGAACAACATCAGTTGAATTATTGAACAATTTATCCGCTGAATTTTTCAAATGGTTTAAACCGAAAAATGTTGCAATGAAAGTCAAGAAATAAAAAATAAATCATTATCGTTTATTATACATTCAATAGAAGTCACTGACAACATTTTCTGCGCACTGATTCGGTTAATACAGGCTTCCTATCGATGGTTTCAACCGTTGAAGGGATCACAACGCCTTCAATTTGAAACGAAAGAAAAAAAATAAACAAAAAACATGATATCAATTGAACGATTTGGGATGGAGAATTCAGAGAAGAAAATATATATTTGTAAAATAAGAACCTTCGGGCGGATTATGGGCTTGTTTTTGCACAATATGATAAATTTCGGTGAGTATATTCTGGAACGCAGCCTCAACATTCGTTGAATCAAGGGCCGATGTTTCGATGAAATTCAAACCATTTCGTTCGGCAAATGACTTTGGCTCTTCCGTTGGTACCGAACGTAAATGCCTTAAATCGCTTTTATTACCAACCAACATGATGACTATGTTTTGATCGGCATGATCACGCAATTCGCTCAACCATCGTTCAACATTTTTGTATGTGAAAGGTTTTGCGATATCATAGACTAATAATGCGCCAACCGCACCACGATAATATGCTGATGTAATTGCTCGATATCGTTCTTGACCAGCTGCACTCACATTTACACATACACCGACCACCATCGCGAAAAGATTGAATGAAAAAAGAAGAAAAAGAAAAACAAAAACAATAACATTTAGAGAATGTATTCGAATAAGAATTGACTGAAAGTAAATAATAATAATAATTAAAGGAAGTTTGATATACATGTTATCAAACACTCCAGTGTCAATAGATATGGGCACAGAATGTACAACTCACCCGTGTCCCAAATTTGGGCTTTTATTGTTTTGCCATCGAATTCAATGCTGCGTGCTGCAAAATCTATTCCAATTGTTGATTTCGATTCCAAATTGAATTCATTTTGTGTGAATCGTGATAGTAAATTACTTTTACCAACGCCCGAATCACCAATTAATACTACTTTGAACAAGTAATCGTATTCGTCATCTCTAGTAGCCATCTTTAGAACTTTTTTTCTTTCGCGTTGTTTGCTGGTTTCACTCTCTTTCCAAATGATTTTTAAAAAAATCACAATAAAGAATTTAATTTAATCTACACTGGCAAATAGATGGAGATTGACGAAAAAAGGGGAGTTGTTGAAATGTGTCTTTTTTTAAATCACTTTCTATGAGTCTCTTTCGCTTTGTATCGCTGTAATTTTTGAATTTTTTTATAATTCACTCACTGATAAAATAAATGCTGGAAATTGATGTCACTCTCAGAAAACATGACTTTATTCGTATTTATGTGAAAAGCAAAATAGCTAAGTCGACTGATACACAGTGAAAAAAAATTATGACGCATATTGACGGTTTGGATTAACTGATGAACACTTCTAATGTGTCAAATTGAGCACTATTATCAAATTTCAACTTAATGAACAACATCAATTGAGCTATTGAAAAATTTATCTGCTGAATTTTTCAAATTGTTTAAGCAGGTTCATCTTGCAATTAAAGTCGGAAATAAAAAGAAATGCCATCAAAATTGTGTATTGATATTTTTTTTTGTTTCTTTTGATTTATTAATATTTTTGTAATCTTTACATATACGTTTGTCTTGTGTATGCAATGCATCCATTTTTAACTAAATTTAATTCATACATACGAGACATTATACTGAGTGATTTCCCTCATTTGAAAGAGAGAAGGATGTAGGAAGAAACGGTTCTCTCAACGCCACACTTCTTCGCTTTCAGAGTTTCATTCGAATTGCTATTGGATTCAGCCAGTTGAGATATTTCGACTGACTGAAAATATATCAGTACAATATCTCATACATATATACATAATTTTTTTTTGTATTAGAGCGGATTGATTTCCATGTGTTTCACATCGAGCGCAAAACAAAATGAAAAAAAAAATTATTATTGTTTATTATATTATTAAAATTATTATTTTTAGTGTGGAGCACTCCGAGTTTTAGATTGTTTTGAATCAATAGCATTCACTGACAACACTGTCTGCGCACTGATTCGGCTGATACTGGCTTCACATCGATGGGTTCGACGGTTGGTCGGATCACATCGCCTTCGATTTGAAATGAAAGAAAAAAAATTACAGGAAAAAAACATGATATCAATTGAACGATTCGGAATTGCATATTTAGAGAAGAAAAAACATATATTTGTGAAATAAGTACCTTCGGGTGGATCACGGATTTGCTTTTGCGACACAATACGATAAATTTCGGTGAGTATATTCTGAAACGCAGCCTCAACATTCGTTGAATCAAGTGCCGATGTTTCAATGAAATTCAAACCATTTCGTTCGGCAAATGATTTTGCCTCTTCCGTTGGTACCGAACGTAAATGCCTTAAATCGCTTTTATTACCAACCAACATGATGACTATGTTTTGATCGGCATGATCACGCAATTCGCGCAACCAACGTTCAACATTTTCGTATGTTAAATGTTTTGCGATATCATAGACCAATAATGCACCAACTGCACCACGATAATATGCTGATGTAATTGCTCGATATCGTTCTTGACCAGCTGCACTCACATTTACACATACACCGACCGACATACATCACCACCACGAATACATTGCATGAAAAAAAGAAGAATAGGAAAAAGAAAAGAAGAAGAAGAAAAAGAAAAACAAAAACAATAACATTTAGAGAATGTATTTGAATAAGAATTGACTGAAAGTAAATAATAATAATAATTAAAGGAAGTTTGATATACATGTACACCATGTATACGTTATCAAACACTACAATGTCAGTAGATACGGGCACAAAATGTACAACTCACCCGTATCCCAAATTTGGGCTTTTATCGTTTTGCCATCGACTTCAATGCTGCGTGTTGCAAATTCTACTCCAATTGTTGATTTCGATTCCAAATTGAATTCATTTCGTGTGAATCGTGATAGTAAATTACTTTTACCAACGCCCGAATCACCAATTAATACTACTTTGAACAAGTAATCGTATTCGTCATCTCTGGTAGCCATTTTTAGAACCTTTTTTCTTTCGCGTTGCTTGCTTGTTTCACTCTTTTTCCAGATGATTTAAAAACTATCAAAATAAAGAATTTAATTTAATCCACACTGGCAAATAGATGGAGAGTGACGAAAAAAAGGGGAGTTGTTGAAATTCTTTTTTTATATCACTCTCGGTGTGTCTCTTTTGCTATGTGTCGCTATAATTGATTTTTTTTTTTAAATAATTCACTCACTGATGGAATAAATGCTTGAAATTGATGTCTCACTTTCAGAAAAAATGGCTTTGTTCGTATTTATGCGAAAAACGAAATAATTAAGTCGACATAACATACAACTATGACCAACTTTTTTCTTTCTTTCTTTTCTTTTTGCTGCTACTATTGCTTCTTCTTATTTCTCTCTTTCTTCTTTATGTGTGTTTTGACAAAACTTAGTCATCAGAAAAAGTATGAACGTCACCACATATGAACTTACTTGCATTTTGGATGTGTGGAGAGTTTGGTACATTCAAAACGATACGGAATACGGGTACGGTTATTGTATGAATTGCAATTGAAATTGAGGTTAAGTTTGATTTTTTTTCTTTAATAAAGAAGAAAACACAATGGAATATCGATGGACTATTGTCGGTTCGTTGGAATGAATGTCAGTGTGGAGAATTTCACACGGCACTGTTTGTCATGTGTGTATGAGTATGCGTCTGTATGTGTGCATGTTCTGTGTGAGAATCAGACCAAAGCTATTTCATGTATTGTATATATTTTCTTATTATTATCCATTTATTGAAAACAACAAATATTATACTATTAAGAATTGTAAAATTCTCAGAATTTATGCAAAACTCAAAAAGTGACAAATATTATTATTGAATATTAAGAAAATTTGAAATAAAAAATCGCTACAAACGAACGAAATTTTTTTTTATTTTTCAAAATCCACGAACTAACGAACGAACAAATTTGTTTTTTCAATTTCTACGAACGAACGAACAAAAATGTTATTTCTATTGTCTACGAATGAACGAACGTTCGTAGCCAACAGTACTTCAAAATAATATTTGATCCATTTTTCAAACTATTCTTTAATTTAATAGCAGAAGTACTCGCAAAAGATTTTTCACACTTTCATGATGAACCCATTTGTATAAAATTTGAAAGTATTCTATTTTCTAACAAAACGCTTTAAAAAATATGTCTGAAGTTATTTTTGAAACACTTTTCTTAAAAAAGTCAGAAAAATTTGGATTTTCTATGGAAACCATGCCTGTATGGTATCGTAAGGACGTGAAAGTTTGCACAGAACTTTGCAACATTTGGAGAATTTGAAGAAATTTTGGCTCACAAACGAAAATTTTGTATGGGAGGTACACCTAATTTTGATTGAAATTTCTTCAAACTTCCAGAATGTTATTTTTTGTCCATCGACTAAAGTGGCTCAAAATCTAATTTCTATTCCTCGCGACCCTGAATCATCCTGTACAGTCATATTTTAAATAATCTCTTCACGTGGAACAGACCCACAACAAACAGGCTCAAAAATCTATATCTGTAAAATGTAAAAATCTGTTCAACAAATTTCTATAAAACATTTATCGCTTGTGTGGAAAGTTTTGCACAGACTCGCTATTCAAATAAATTTCATGAAAAACACAAATAAAGTTTTATAAAACTGCAAATGAAACTCTTGTTTTTATTAACATTCGATTACTTGTTCGAAAAAAATTATCATTTATTGAACTTAAAAACGAAAAAAAAAGAGAGACTATTATTCATATTTAAAATAGAAAAAAACTCTGACGAATGAATCGGCGTCAGTTGTTTTGATTTGTGACGGGTTAACATTAGCAAGAGACGTGATCAATTGCATATAATATTTCGCTTGATTTAAAATCATCGTTATCAACGCGAAATCGACGAAACGTTCGATCCATGTTGCATTCAATTTGTAGGTAAACATTTTCAATCGAATAAACACGTTCAAATTGCTCAATCCAAATATCACGAGGTAAACTTGTCAATTGGCCATTAATGTTGAACGAAGCCGTGCCGTTTGCAATCATGCGTAGCTTTATCTGAAACCAAATGTATTCAAATGGGTCAAGATCACGATTTGCATCGGGGATATGCAAAGCAATATGATTGATTTTGGCGAGATATTCAGTGATAATGCAACCAGTTTCAGCCGGTTGAAAGTTGTTTGTATTTTGCAAAATCAAATCATATAATTCAGTCTTGTACATGTCGCTTGTGTATGGAATTTTCTCATTTTCCAGCCACGTAATGATCGTATCCTTGGAATCGGTCTGTTGTGGTACACTTTTTTCGCAACGAAATTTGCACGATGGTCCAAGTACAAAAACGCATTTCTCTTTCAAATTGCCGACAATATCTTTCGATAGCCATTTTAAAAAGCCGCTTGCATTTGTACTTGTGATAAATGCACTTGTAATGGGTCCATCGAATCCGGCTGCGATGACAATCATTTTATCACCAATCATCATTGCATTGATGTAGATAATTCGTTGATTCTCTTTGCGATACTTTTGAATTCGACGAATGTATGAGATCCGTTCTAGTCGATTTTCCTTCTCCTCAATTGCAACCAATTTGGATTTTTTACTAATGCGATTCGTAATGCGACGGAATTTCAATTTGCCCGTTTCATTCAGCAAATTGATTAATTTTGGTGTTGATATTTTATAGCGAAAAATACGACAACACGTTGAAAATGTCTTATTAAACCAAACGGGTTTGCTGTTTAATAGTTTTCGCTTGATTTGGCAAAGTTCTAGGGGTGCCAAATTTCGTGGAAAGTTACCCTCGTATCCTTTGAGAGCTTTGTTCAATTGAAGTACAGTCGGATCTTCGTTACCCAATATCAAATAGTTCTGAAGTCGTGAAAATAATCGACGAACCTTGTCCTGTGGTAAATTAATGAGCAATGCAACTGTTTCGCACATTTTAACATGTGTCGTTATAATTGGATGGCACATATACATTTGAAATAGTTTTTTGCGTGCATTTTCATTTAGACAATTTCGACAGTAGATGCTTGTACAGAAGCACATCAATTTTCGTCGAACTGGTACAACTTTGGCTCGTTCCACCAGGTTTGTTTTCTTTTTTGTTCGTGCAACATTCGTATTTCGTCCGCCATCGGTGTCTGAGTCGATAATAATTGGCGCTGAAAATGTTGGAGAAAATCAATTAGGTTGGAATTTATTTATTTTTTAATAAAAAAAATGTGTGATTTTTGGTACCGTTTTCAGATTCGTCGGGTGATACATAAATGCAGTCATCGGTTTCATCGTCGTCAGTGGTGTTGATGTCTCCATTATTAAGAGTCAAATCGTCTGATTTGCTCGGTGCGACATCATTTGCTTTGGGCAATTCACATAAATTCTTTTGTACGGCTTTAATCATTTATGCTTCTGTTTTTTTTTTTGCACAAAAACATACAGTTAGTGAACACGTCGAAAACTTCGTATTTTACAAAGAAAAAGAAAAATACAAAACAAACGCACAAAAACTGAAATAGTGGAAATAACGCGGCTTTGCGTAACACCACAAAACAAATTTTCACTTTCTATTTTTGTTATTCAATTTTAGCTCTTGTATGTTGAAATTTACTCTTCTTTTTATACGTCTAAGACAATATTATCGTTCGTATAGTCGAGCTCGAACTACTTAACTCCATGATGTTTATGAATTTCCTGAGCAAAACTGGTATCCTGAACGTTTCCATAAAAATACACTTTGCTTTTGTCCAACTACAAAAACCAATTTCTTTGTTTATGAATATTTTTTTGGCGTTGATTGTTTTTGTTTGTGCTCCGTACAAATTTTTAGCACATGTTCCAAATGTCATGCGGAAAACTGAGACAATATACTCCTTTGCGTGTTTTCTCTCGCTCAATTCAAGTTAAATTCATATACAAGCAACGAACTCACACACTGTTCATATGATTTGTTGTGTGTGTATTGGTTTGTGACATTCAGCGTTTTGTTTCGATAGATTTCTAATTGAATTTGTACTTTATTCAATATGGCACGCCAATAACGGAACAAATTTAGCACGAAAAAAATGTCAATTGTCCAAATAAAGTTGTAAAAATCGAAATCTATATAATAACCTCAACTTGAATTATTGTTTGATTTTTTAAGTTAAAACACAACACATGAACGCACTCACCATCGAAAATACTGTCAAGTAACAAAAGTCTCCGAACGTTGACAACACAAAACATACACTCACATGCGACGCGTTCACTGTTCGTTTATTTAGTAGTGTGTATGTGGTGTACGTTTGTGTGTGCGAATGTATGAGTGCTACCGAAACACTTTTCAATAGTACGCGATTTGACAGTACATGGCGCGTATGAATATTACCATAGAGAGTGTGAACATTTAGAATACAACAAAATTTTATTCTTGATTTCATTTTTCCGTTTAATTTTTTCGGTTTGACTCGTTGTTTGATCAATTAAAATTTGCATCCAGTTCATTTATTTGCTATACAAGTGATTCGGACGTAATCCAAAACCATCGAATTTGCCGTTGGAAATATGGCATCGAGTAGTAAATCAGATGCACTGAAATCATGGGAAAAATCGGGCAAATCTGAAATGTAAGTAAATTTTTCGAAATGTTTTCGGTCGTCAAATGCATTGGAGATCGTGTCTTTGATAAATATAAAATACACCATAAATATTTTCAATGCTCAACTAACCGTATTTATTGCGAATTTACTGTTTTCAAGCACATGTTTTACATGATTAGATTTTAGCGGGGCCCTTTGTCAATCGATGTGACAATACGGCAATATTTTTTTTGTATTTCACGATTTTATGTGACATGTTTTTATTGTTCAATTTCAGTACAAAGTATTTGAAGAGTTTAGCGAAGAGCAACGAGAATCCATTTTTCCTTGGCAACGATGGTAAAAATCCAATTTTCCGCTATATTTACGATTTACTTCATGACGGCATTAGAGGTGTCACAAAAAAAGATGTCGTTTCCACTATTCTCGCTGACATAGCGGTAAATACTAAAATATTAAACATATTTTTTAGACAACAAATATCAAATGCTAAATATTATTATTTTTTGTGTGTTTCTTTTCAAATGATAACATAGGAAATGCACACTGATATGCCGTCCGTGATTCTTGACATTATTGCTATTTTCGATGCTGAAACATCAAATGGGCTTGGTGATAATTCAACACAAGAAGAACGTATTGTATTTTGTGAAATTGTGAAGAAAGTGGAAGAGTTTCTGTCGGATAAATTGCTGAAAGAACGTCTCGATATTGATACACTGCAAGAGGCGGGCATAATTAAAACACAAAATAATGTTAATAACTTTTATCAGCGGTTTATCAAAGTTAAAACAAAACTCTAGTGAGTAAATGACAATATTTTTTTTTAATTTGCACACAATTTTGAAATAGTAAAGTTTAAATATTATTATTATTTGTTTAACTAATGCAAAACATGATTGTTGTTACTCTTGGATTCCATTAGTTACAAACAGAGGCGATTCAACTTGTTTCGCGAGGAGAGCGAAGGTTATGCAAAGTTAATTGCAGAATTAAATCACGAAACTATTGAACATACTTCCGTAAATAAAATTTTGGAAATCATCAAATCATTGATTGGTAAGCACACATTGACACACATCTGACGCAATGTCAGAGATTTTTGTGAAATTTTTTCACTAAATTTCATTATTCGTCTAAAAATGAAAAAAAAAAAAAAAGATTTTGGAACTAATATTCTAACTGAGACGCATAAAAGTGATTTTTATGTGATATTTCTTCCATCATCTTAGAATCAAGCCAATTCCAGCAAACATAAGTTAACGAATTAATTTTGTTTTTGCATTGCAGGTTGTTTCAATCTCGATCCCAATCGCGTTCTGGACATCACATTAGAATCATTCGAAACTCGACCGGAGCAACATCGTCTATTCATCGAATTGCTCCGATCGTATATGCCAAATGCCAATGTCATTTGTGAAATTTTGGGCTACAAATACCGTTATTTCCATGATACAGAAACGCCACGTTCTCTCTATATTATAACGGCGCTATTGTTGCAATGCGGTTTGATTCGTTTAGATGATATTTACGTTTGGCTGAGCCCAACGGATCGTAGTTTGCAAACAGAATGGGAACAGGAGATTGATGACGCAAAAGAATACGTCCGAAAGTTGAATGTTATTTCAACGAATAAAGACAAAGAAATAGAGATTGATGATGAAAAAGATGATTTTGAGGATAATTATGAGTTCAATCAAAAATGGAATTTATGTGAGGCACTCTTAACAGTTGGCGACTGGAAAACGGCACAAACCTTAATCGATAAATTGCCCGAACAATCTGTGATTGTGAAAGAGCCAGTTGCAAAAGCATTAGCTTGTCTTATACATCATGTTATCGATCCGGTTTATATGAAAATGAAAAATCGTCAACCACGTGCACCGATCCCATACCAAAATGTTTTATCCGTACCAAAAGCCACATCAATACTCGAATTACGTGAAAATGCATTCGCAATGGCAACAAAATTAGGACCAGCACTACATCATGATCCGATTCTATTGTACAAATTGATTCGCATTATGAATGCCATCCTGACGGATATGAAAGTCGATGCGAATACCGGCCCAAAGACTGAAAGTGATCATCTACTTTATTTCGATTGTATCACATTGATTGATGCATCAGTTTTACCAGCACTTTCGTATATGGATTGTAATTGTTGCATTGCCGAAGAGATTTGGTCGATCATTAAAATTTTCCCATACCATCACCGATACAGTTTGTACGCACGATGGAAGAATGACACGTATTTGATTCATCCGAAATTGATTCGGCGTCGCGGTTTGGCACAAAAACAAATCAAAGCGCTGATGAAACGTGTTAGCAAAGAAAATGTCAAACCAGTCGGTCGATCCATCGGCAAATTGAGTCATTGTTCACCGGGATTTTTGTTTGATTACGTGAGTATTTCTTTGAAGCAAATATTTTCAAATGAAATCGACTAAATGATTTTCTAATTTACAGATCTTGAAACAAATTCAAATCTACGACAATCTTATTGGTCCCGTTGTTGATTCACTTAAGTATTTAACGTCATTATCTTACGATGTACTCGGCTATTGTTTGATTGAAGCACTTGCTCTGGCCGATCGAAATCGTTTCAAACTTGATGGTACATCACTTTCAATGTGGCTACAAGGCTCCGCCAATTTTTGCGGTTCAATTTATAAAAAGTACAATATTGAGTTGAGCGGTCTATTACAATACGTGGCCAATCAATTGAAAGCACACAAAAGGTAATTTAACGGATAAAGTTAAAAAAAAATCGTTCGTTAATCTCAATTTTATTTCGATGCAGTTTGGATTTGTTAATTTTGAAAGAGGTTTGTCAGAAGATGACCGGTGTTGATGCATCCGAAGAAATGACAACTGAACAACTCGAAGCAATGGCTGGCGGTGAACTACTTCGTAATGAGGCTGGCTATTTTGGTCAAGTTCGTAATACCAAAAAATCTTCGCAACGATTAAAAGATGCGCTTGCCAGCAATGATTTAGCCGTTACACTATGTTTATTGATGGCACAACAAAAACATTGTGTTGTTTATCGTGAAACGGCCGACAATCATTTGAAATTAGTTGGAAAATTATACGATCAATGTCAGGATACACTTGTGCAATTTGGCACATTTTTAGGTTCATCATATTCAGTAGATGAATACATGGAGCGTTTTCCATCGATACATGACATGTTACAAGTCTATCACATTCATACTGAAGTCGCATTCTTCTTGGCTCGACCAATTTTTGCTCATCAAATCTCGGTAAGATTAAAGCATCCATTATATTTTCCAGACGATTCAATCATGGGTCAAAATGATTTTTGCATATTATTTTATTTTTCTATCATTAGCAAAAGTACGATCAACTCCGGAAGGCAGATACTAGTGTTAAAAAGTTGTCAACAGCACAAAAACAAGAAAAGTATTTAGAAGCAACGTCGGCAATCATTCAACCCATTGTCGAATCGGTTCGTTTGATTCATCCGATGAAAGTGTGGGAAGACATTAGTCCACAGTTTTTGGTTACATTCTGGTCACTTGCCATGTATGATCTGGAAGTGCCGAACAAAAGTTACGAACGTGAAATTCAAAAATTGAAAAAGCAATCTTTGTCCGTAGAGCTGGTAAATAATGTGGCATTTTTATTTAAACCGTTAATTTTAACGATTTAATTTGACAATTTTTTTTTCAACTTTTCAAATTCGTTTCATTACAAATAGGGCTCATCGAAGAGTCGCAAAGAACAAGAGCGATATGTTGCATTGATGGAAAAGTTACAAGATGAACGAAAGAAACAGCAAGAACATGTCGATAAAATCAAACATCGCTTAAACTTCGAGAAAGATCAATGGTTCCTGTCCCGATCGGCCAAGTCTGCCAAAAATGAAACCATCACTCAATTCCTTCAACTTTGTTTATTCCCAAGGTAAATGAGTAATGATTGATGATTTTTGTCCAAATGATGAATATATTTTCATTTTATTTTATTATTGACATTCGACAGATGCACCTTTACCGCACCGGATGCAATGTATTGCGCCAAGTTCGTCCATTTGATTCACACGCTGAAGACGCCAAATTTTTCGACACTTCTTTGTTATGACAGAGTAAGTTGTCAATTCGGTTCCTTCTCTAACTTGATGTTCAATAAATTTTGATTATATCTCCTTGGTTTAAAATGAAATCTCTAGAAGAAATAATAAGTTTCACTCAATTAATTTCCTTATCCATTTTGCTTCAGATATTCTGTGAAATTGCTTATTCAGTAACATCATGTACTGAAAATGAGGCAACACGTTATGGTCGCTTTTTATGTGCTATGCTCGAAACAGTAATGCGATGGCATTCAAGTCAGGCAACATTTGAAAAAGAATGTGCCAGCTACCCAGGATTTGTGACAAAATTCCGTATAAGTAATCAGGTAATGCGCTTCATTTCTTTATTTCGCTTATTCAAACAAAAAAAAAATTGTTGCTTAGCTCATCATATATTAACAAAACATATAGGAAAAGTCCTCTAATTTACAGTGTTCAGCTGATGATCATGTTGGTTACGAAAACTTCCGTCACGTGTGTCACAAATGGCACTACAAAATCACGCGTTCCACTGTTGAGTTACTTCAATCAAAAGACTACATGCAAATTCGAAATGCGCTCATTATTCTCATGCGAATACTTCCGAATTTTCCCGTTCTATCAAAATTGTCACAGATTCTGGAAAAGTATGTGAACAAAGTGATCGAAGAGGAAAAAAACCAACGTCAAGATCTCTTTGTATTGGCCACAAGTTACATTGGACAATTGAAGAATAAGGCGGTTGATATGATGAAAGAGGCTGATTTCCATCAAGTCTCCGACAAACCGGTGAAAAATGCGCAAGAAACAACAAAAGTGGTAAATGGCAATGGTACTGCCACCTCTGGAAAGCACGAAAGCAATCATGGTAAGTAATTTGACAATTTTATTTTGGTGACTGGTAGGTTATGGGTTCTGGTAGTTTTGGTGACTGTTAGTTAATCAATTGTATCGAAATAGTTACCCGAACAGAAACAAAAGAAGTCTCCGAACGTACTGAAAAACGATCAACAGCCACAACCACATCATCATCGTCATCGACCTCAACAAATTCCGTTTCGATTAAGCAAACCAATAGTTCGTCGAGTAATAATTCGGAGAAAGAAGTGCGCAAAGAAAATAAGGAGCGCGAAGAACGCGAACCAAGAGGTCGTGAGAGAGAACGTGAACGTGACTCCACCGAAAAAGTAATTATGATAAAAGAGAAAAATTCATCGAAAGACTCGAAACGTGATAAAGACGATGGGGAAATTCGAAAACGCGATCGAGCCGAAAAACGAGATAGAAGTGATCGGGATCGAGATCGTAAATATTACAGTCCAGTTTCACCTGCCTATCATCCAAATGACCGTTCGAATGCTGATGGTGCAGCATCACCGGAATACACAACAGCATCACCAATGTATGTATCACAAAATGAATTGAATCGCTTTCATCCCGATACATATGATGAACGAGAACGCGATAGAGATCTCAGCTCGATATCGAATTCAAGCAAAGGTTCAAACAATCGACGCAGTCAAGATTCACCAGACGAACGAGAAGGCGCTAAACGACGCAGAGTTGAAAGTTTAAAAGTAAGTCAAACAATCGATAAACAAATATTTTGAAATGATAATTAATCGTTTGTGCGTATAAACATTTGTAAATTATAGAAAAACAATGACGACGTGATAATCAATGTGGACGAAAGCAGTAAGCGTGAACGCTCAAATAAGTCGGAACGTTCAAAGGAAAAACGGGAAAAATCCACGTACGATGAAATCGAAATGCGCAAAGAACCAAGCAAACGAAGCAGCCGCAAGCGAAACCTTTGAGCAAATCGAATACCATGAAAATTTGCATTTGTAAACTATCATTTTCATTTTAACGAGAACGTTGTTTCTTCTTCTTTCAAATTCTTTTGATATGTGAAAACAAAGGAAACAATAAAAAAACAACAACAAAACTATGGAAATGTAGAATTCTAATAAATGAATGAAAATTATGAATGAAATGGAATTTGTTTTATTTAATTATAACAGAGAGACTAGAAATGCATATAACTTGAAACCATAATAAACAATTAACGTAGTAAACAACGAAAAACCTTTCAAATACACATTTGTAATTTGATGGAGGCGCCTCACTCCATACTGTTAATAACGTTTCATCATTTCGTTGATTTAGGCTAAAAACTGTGCACAAATAGTCATGCCTCAAAAATATTAATTTTCAATCCCAAATAATCTAGTAGAAAGAAAATAAATCAATTTTTCCGAATTTGTTAAAACAAATGCTTTGAATACTGTTCATATTTCCTCTCCGAAATCGAAATAATGTGCAGTGAATCAATTCAAAATATGTGCTGGTCATTCGTTCTCGAAATGCATTGTTTGTTGTAATGCAATGTACTGGCACCGCGATCGAAAATCAGAATGTGAATAATGCTAGTTGATTAGTCATTTCTTTCATAAACAAACCCATCAATGGATGTGCTCGCTTTGTGCGACTGAATGTCCCATTCACTCTGAAGAAATTCGTTTTAAATTGAATTTTGTCGTTGACGATTGTCGAGAATTGTATGGTGTGGTGTACGGTCCGTTCAAACTTCACATAAATATGAAAACAATTAAGTAAAATACACAACAAATATATACGAGAGTGTGTGTGTGTGTTCTTTAAATGAATGCCCACGTATATTGCATGCGATTAAATTAAGGGTCAAGTGGTAAATATTTTGACCTCACACCAATTAATTTAATAGATTTTTATTATTTGTGGGTCTAGCATTGTGTCAATAAGTGCACAGCAAAAGTAAAATAAGCTGATTTAATAACATTGAACGCAAAAAATCGAAAAGAAACCGAAAAGTAAGCAACAATCGCAAGATGAGAGAGCGCGCGCACGCATCATAAACAATTTAAATCATAATTCACGACAATGAGTAATACTCATTCTTTTTTTTTACATTTCAGCATCACAGTTATTGTAAATGTACTTGAAGTGTATGGTTAATCGTTTGAAATTATGAATGAAATTCATTGCAAAATTCATCGCAATGAATGATTGTAATGAACATAAATAGAATGAATGATGCATAAAGTTATGTTGGATTCGAAGAAATCGGAACAATCGGAATTGTCGCTTAGATGTTCCATTGGAATTCGAGTAAATAGACGAATCCCATTGAAAATAAGATCAAATGGAACAAAATTATGGCTTGAACTTTAGTAATTGTCGTTGATGCGGACGGAATGCGTCACATTTGAACCACAATATTCATGGGCATAAATGGTGATGAGTATATCGGACGAGAATGATGTGACCGAAAACAAGAAAATATGACAAATGTGTTAAAATGCCCACAAAAATATTTATTAATATTAAATGGTTGGACATGCGGGCAATTTGATCATAAACTGTCTCGCTTAATGTGCATGCGTTCACTGATAACAAAAAAATTAGTGGATTATTTAATAAAAGTGTTTGTGTTGAGTGTGCATTTGTTAAGTGTAATGCGTTGGGACAATTTATTGAACGAGGGTGTTTATTCAATTTAATCGCTTGAACAAAAAAAAAAGATATAATAATAAACATTTATCCTGTGTTCGAAAAGACACAACACGACTGCAATGTGTTTTACAGAAAATATTTTCACCGAAAAAAGAACCACAGGAATCAAGTTGTAGTACATGAAAGAATCGAAAAGTGATCAATAAAATAGAGGAGAATAACTTTTCAATTTGCTATATATTATAGAGTACAAATCGCCAATATACCGATAACTCAATACAGCTTTTGATGTGTATTAACACGTTCTACTTTTTGTATGCTCTCTCTCTGTCGAAAAGGAAGTAAATGAGCGCACGTCTCGGTTGTTTAAAGCCATATTGTTCGATAGCCATCTGTATTTCGTAAAATCAGAAAATCTCCTTAATTCAATGCGTATATAACATATTTTCTATTGTCTCTATGACTATACACGCACAGGCCGACGACAGGAATAGAGAGAACTAACAACAACAACGACGTAATTCTACAAAAAAAAACTAGCAAAATTGAAAAATAACAATAAACAATGTAAACAATACACTGATGTAGCTACTAATAGCAAATAGTCTTTTTGCCGCCAATATGAAATGAAAACCGACGGAAAAGGCAGCAACCAACAGCAGCACCAAGACTAAATAGATTGTTTCTTTATTTCACTCTCTTTCTCTCTCTCTCTCTCTCTCTCTCTCTCTCTCTCTCTCTCTCTCTCT